TCACCTAACTGATTCCTTGGATTGGGTAGGTATTCTTTTATCAGACTTGTTCTACAAGTATTTACTGGAGTTTAGGTGAATGAAAGAGAACCTTATTGAAACATACCAATATTCTCAGGGCACTTTAGATGGTGGATGATGAAAGAATGTTTTTCCTTACAGATTAGAACTAGGGAACACAGTTTAAAAATAAATGATCTCCTACACAAAGTAGAGATGAGAAAAAAAATTCTGAGGGCCATTAATTTGTGGAATTCCCTCTCTCAAACAGCAATGGAGACAGGGTCATTGAATTTTTAAGCCAGAGTTAGATACACTCTTGATCAACAGGGAGTCAGAGTATGGGGGTTGCTAGCAAAGTAGAGTCTAAGTCACAATCAAATCAGACATGATCTTAACAAATGGCAGAGGGGCTGAACCCAAGGAACTAAATGACTTCTGCTCCTAATTATAGCTTCATGTTCATCAACTTGAGACTTTACTTATTTTTCAACAGATGCTGTCCGTATTGCTGAGCATTTCAGGCATTTTTTGATTTTAGTTTATACTTCATTATTTACTTGAAAATAGTTAAGAATCCCTTTGTAATCCTATGCTTCTGTTTCGTTGTATTGTATACAATGTCTGTGAGTAGGCTTCCTCTTCTGGCAATTGCAGGTCCTTGTCTATGTGACATTTAGTCTTGGGTCTGCTGAGATCATAACGCTCACAAAGTGAACATCTGAGAAAACCTTCCGAGCTATCACTGTACCAATAGAGCATGTAACTATCCTGTTCTCTGATTCACCACTCTTCCCCATTCCAAACCCTTAAAATAACTGTTAAGATGTTTCTGACTGAGGATGTGGGTTGCTGGTTAAAAGGAAAAATATACCCTACAAAAAGACATTCAGCACAGCATATGTTTAAATACTTAAATCACCAGGACTAGATTATTTTTATAGTTACTCCTTCATGAATAAACTTCAAAGTCTTCAGATCATTCAGAAGTGGCTGCCATTTCAGCAAATAGAAGATTTTTTAAAAATGTAATAAATTCAGATCTTGCTTATGCAAGCTCACAAATCAACACTTTTTTTCAATATACTGTTAAATTTGGCTGCAACACAAACATGATAGCACCTCAAAAGTCCTTCATCAGTTGCAATACATCAAGCGTCATCCAAGAGTCATGAAAGACATTTTTTACATTTCCTTGTCTGCCTTTGATTTCAGATTATGTTATAATGAATACAGATCGGAAAGCGCTGGTAAAGAGGAATCAATGGAGGTTTTGAGACCTTTAAATATAGTTACACGCATAAATACAGCAGTTAGTGTTGCAAAAAGGGAAATGACATAGCTTCTCACAATAATTCTATAACATAAGGATTCAGCAAGTTTAGAAGGTATGCTGCATGTTCCTGGAGCCTATGGCACCAGCACTTAGACCCAGAAACGCAGAGTTTGGATGTTGGGCAAAAAAGTAAACGCAAGAGCAGTAACACTATAGCGATTGCTGCAGTTGAAGACTGCATCTATGTTTCCTATTAAAACTTGTTTTTAGCATATGCATACATGAAATAAGGCTAAGAAAAAGCATTTATTCCAAAATTATTAAACTAAAGGTATTTCTTTTTACTTCAAGACATTTGAAAGACCTTCACTTTTTAACTTCATAAACATACAGCTCTAACTAATTTCAAACTTCAAATCTCAAGATGAATCATGAAAATGCAATGGAAATGGAAGATCACCTTCACTGAGCTACTAAAGACCAAAAAGCAAAATGGCAGAATGAGACTTCCTCAAACCATATGAATACATATGCACAAAATAACTTTCAGATGCCAGATGAGCGCTAAAGTTAGCCACAACCATTCCATTTTGGAAAAGATCCGCATCATTTCCATGTGGCTCCATCCAAAGTAGTCAGCTTGCACAATTATGGAAAACATACCACAGGATTTGAAGGGAATCTTCCTTGATATATAGAAAATTAGTATTTAAACAGAAATATACTTGAAAACAAATGTAAGTTATCCCAAACTCCAACTTTGATCTTGGATTCAGCACTCATTATGAGAGGACAGGTCTATGGAACAACTAGCCATGAGAGTCAAGTCACTTCCATCAATTAAAAAGCACTATTTTAGCCAGATACATTACTTGATCATTCTAAAACATGTTGCAAACAGGTACATGGCCTAGGGCTTCCCATTTGATTAATTTCAATGCCTTACAGTTACATCATACAGCTACATAAAAACCGAAAGAACTGCGGATGCTGTAAATCAGGAGCAAAAACAAAGTTGCTGGAAAAGCCCAGCAGGTCTGGCAGCATCTGTGAAGGAAAAAACAGAGTTAACATTTCGGGTCCGGTGACCTTTCCTCAGAACTGA